AAAAAAAAAAAAAAAAGGAAGAAAAATAACATTTGGGTCAAAAAATCCCAAAAAACACTTTTAGCTGCATGGTAATGAAAATACAACATATCAACATGTGTGGAATGCAGCTAAATAGCTTTAAATTTTTATATCAGAAAATAAAACTTTTGCCGGGCACGGTGGCACATGCTTGTAATTTCAGCACTCTGGAGGCTGAGGCAGAAGGGCTGCCACAAATTCAAGGCTGGCCTGGACTACGTAGTGAGTTCAAGGCCAGCCTGAACCATGTAGTGAGACCCTGTCTCAAAAAAACAGAAGAATTAAAAACAAACAAACAAAAACAGAAGATAAAGGTTTAAAATGAATGAAATTACATTTAAAAATGAGAGCTACAGTTGGGAGTAGTGGCGCATGCGTGTAATCCCAGCACTCAGGAGGCTAAGGCAGGAGGCCAACCTGGGCTACAAGGTGAGCTCAAGGCCAGCCTGACAGTCATTTGTATTTAAGACCTCTCTTAATAGTGTACAGAATCATGAATTGAAAGAGATGTTAGGCCTGTACCTCATCTAACCCCCAACTCCATTAATTCTGACATTTAAAGAAGTACCCCCACTTTGTATTTCAGCCTTTCTTTCTCTCTCTTCTTCCCTCTCTCTCTCTTTCTTTGGGAGACAGGGTCTCACTATGTAATCCAGAAACTGGCCTTGAACTCACTCTGTAGTCCAGGCTGACCCTGAACCTGCAGCGATCCTCCTACCTCAGCCTCCTGAGTGCAGAGGTTATAGGTGTGCGTCACCAGGCCTGGCTTCTGTATTTTAGTTTTCTGACTGCCAGAATATGACCACTACAAAATTTATCCTAACCATCTACATGGTAAAAGCTGAATTTCCTTCATTTTTTTTCTCTGAGAAAAAGATCAAACCAAATCAAGACAGCAACAGAAACAAATTCTGGAGCCGGTGGTATAGCTCAGTGGCAGAATGCTTGCCCAGCATGTGTGAGGGCTTGGGTTTCATCCCCAGCACTGAAAACAAGCAAACAAAGAAACAGCTTTTTATCCCTTCCATGAACATTTCCAGCTTATGGGTATCTCAGACTCTCCCAATGAGAACTCTATTATAATTAATCAAATGTAGGTTTACACACACACACACACACAGTGCAACTAGCCCTATGTCACCAACTGAACAAAGTTATAAGCTGACAAGAAGATGACTATGTTGACATTCCCCAGATGAGGAAACGTGGTCCAGAGAGGGGAGCAGAACCTGCTACGTGTGGTCTTCAAAGCTGAAGCTCAAACTTGGGTTGCTGGCATCTGAGCCCAAAACTACTTACCTGATACCCTAGAACCCCCCACTGGTGCACCCTTTGGTATAGCATCGTTAGTTTTTTTCCAGGAAGGATACATAATAGTCCAATCAAAAGGCCACACAGGTTGCTCAGGAAAGAGGTCTGCGGAATGAGCCAAGAGGCACCCAGGAGGAGCCATGGCACCAGGATGGAGGGCATGACCACACCCAACACCAAGGCCCGCCGCAGGCGAGTGCGGACAGAACTGACTCCCAGCATGGCGAAAGCCACTGGGGTGAAACCTCTGGCATCTTCCACCTCGCCCAGCTTTGACAGCGATGACACAGTCTCAAGTGACAGGAAGATGACAGCGGAGGAGACGGTGAAGATCAAGGTGAAGAAGCAATGGCGGACAGTGCCCACGGATTTCTCAAAATTGCCGCCAAAGCGCCAGATGATGACCGCACCGCAGAGCAGGGAGACTGGATTCTCATAGACAAAGATGTAAGTCACCAGCCTGTAAACTGAAGAGGGAGCCGGGTTAGTGCCTGCTGCTGGGCTGCTCCAGGGAGGAAAAGCCAGGGTATGAGCCACCTAGGAAAGGGAGAGCAGCCTCTTTGCTAGCCAAGGAGAGCCAGTGAGAATCAGCAGGTAAGCAGTGGAAGCAACGATGAAAGACCCAAGAAACAGTAGAGGTGGGAACGTCTAATCCCTGTTCTTTCCCTTCTGGGCCTGGGGCAAGTCTTATCAGTAACAATTCCTATGTGTGGAAAAAAAAACCCACAACTGTTGGCATGGAGAGGTTTCTGAGTTTGTAAGGTGCTTTATAATCCTTTTGTAGATTTTAATACTGATCTACCTCATTGGGCAGTTGGAGGGTTAATTAAGTGTAACAGCTTCAGGGTGGATCGAGAGGGTATCACTTAACACTCTGTGAGCCAGTGTCCTCAGCTGTAATCCTGACCTCTCCTTCCACAGCAGCTGTTCAGAGGAAGAAAAAAGAGACTGTGAATTATCTTACAGATATAAGGATTATAAAACTCTCATGATTAATACAGAAATCAGAACTGTTCCTTGAAAGTGTTTATCCAATCTCACAGGAAAGGCAGCTTTCTGTGCAAGCAGACAGCAAAGAACCATACTTTCATTTTTCTCTAATGTATTTTATATTATTAAGGGCTGACACACTAAACTGAAGGAGAGAGACTGATAAAGTGACAGTAATAGCAGACTGAAAGCTTGGAGTGAAATCTTGGCTCTATCACAACCAGGATAGCTGAGCTCAGTCAAATTGAAGGTGCAGGCTTTCCTGGCTTCCGTTTCCTCATTGTAAAGCAATAGGGTTAACTTGAGGCCTTGGTCTCTCACAGAACTAATGTTCAAATGGCCATGAACCCCACAGCCAGGGGAGTTGTGAACTAAAGGTAAAAAGGAGGCTCATTTTGCTTCAATCTGTAAGTACCACGCTAACCAATCACGCCACTGGAGCTTCCATTTAGCTTCAGTCTATGAGGAGGTGCTGTGCGTATCCAGGACAGCGGGACATCAGTAAAATGAAGACGGGATTTGAGCAGGAAAGCGGGCTGTGGAAACGTGTACCTCAGTCAGGCCGGTCTCTGGAAGGCTTCATTATCTGGAGTACTTTGTTATCTGGTGAGTACTTCCACAACCGAAATTCCAAGTATAAATGTGAAACTCTAAACAAAATTCTGTGTGATCTGGAGTTTATATATCCCCAGGCTCTAGTTTCAAAACATCACACAATAAAAACAAAAAGCTGAGTTCCTGTCTCAATTCTATGACTTACCAGCTCTGTTGTAACAGCTCTGTCTCTGCTTTAAGCTCAGTCTCATTGAAATAATGGGCAATTTAATATGGCCTGTCCTGGGATCGCTGAGGATTAAATGATATAATGCAGTTGACCGTGTTTTGTAAAACAGCAAGAGGGATACGCATTGTCCTTATTTATCCAGAAAAGAATGAGGAAGAGAGACTAGGAATGACTTTTAGTTTTGGCACTGGGAATCGAACTCAGGACCTCACACTCGCCAGGCAGGCGCTGCACCAGAGCTAAATCCCCAGCCCCTGGCATCACTTACAGCAAAGGATGCTTGACTTAATTAGTGTGCAAAATCGCTCCCCCCAGAGAAAACCAACACCTCTAAAGGCAGAAGACCCGCCCCCCCATTCACTTACACATACACATCCCTGTGAACTGGGAATTACTCTGGATTAAGATACAAACGAAGCATCAGAAATTCCAAACTTCTAGAGGACAGGATGTTTACAAGTGGGCAACAAGATGTAACTGTGAAAAAAGTGGGAGAAACATTTGTTCGCTGGGAGAGCGAGTGAGACAGAGAGACAGACAGAGATTGAGAGAGGAAGTCTTTATCCTGGGGAGACTGAGGAATGGATTTAGGGCCCTGACCGGTCTGGAGGGGACAAGGAAGTAACAAATTCAGGTACAGAGAAGGGATATTACAGTGACGACGAAGATGAGGCTCTGGCAAGACCGGACTTCGGGAAGCAAGTGACGGTGCCGGAGGCTGGATTCCCGCCGGGGAGAGGGGTGCGCACGCAGGCACGCGCGGGCAGGGAGCCCCGCGGGGGAGCCCTGCGAGGCTGGAGCCAGGCGCGCGCGGCGTCGGAGCGCAGGGACTCCTCGCGCCTCCCGGCCCCGCCCCCGCTCACCTTGCCAGTGGCGCACAGCCTCGGACCGCAGCGACAGGTCCGAGGGCGCCTGAGGGGGCTGGAGCGAGAACAGGCGGGGCCCGGAGACCAGCAGCGAGACCAGCGCCATTAAGAAGGTGGCGCATGGCATCTCGGGACACGAGCACCAGCTCCGATACCCGGACCCCGAAGCGGCCGGAGCGCCGGGAGCCGCAGAGACCGCCATGCTGGCCAGCGTTCCCGCGCTGCGCCTCAGCACCTTCCGGCTCTCGGCGCCTGTCTCCCCTGGCAACAGCCGAGGCGCCTACCGGAAGTTCCGCCTCCTCGCCGTCCCGCCCTTCGCCAAACTGCCCAATCCTAGGGCGCCGTTCAGCCATTGCCGGCTGCTGGATACCTGGAGGAACCTGGCTGTGGTCTCCGGCTTGTTCCTAAAGTAGCTCTGGTCAAAAAAAAAAAAAAAAAAAAAAAAAAAAAAAA